CTTCATTTACTTTGTACTTACACCAAAAATATTTTGTCACACTGAGTACCAATCACCCTGTATATATATATATTTTAAATACATATATACAAATTTCAACGAATAGTGTTTTTGGCCTCTAGGGATATCAAAATGAAAAATGATATCGGTCCTGGCTCCAGGTCTTACCGTCCCATCTACGGTTATAGCTTCTTCCCTATAGGGAAATTCTCTATAAGAAAGTTCCGGTTGCTTTTTATCAAAATATGAAGTAGGCATAGGCCTACTTTAAGATTTTGGTACCTAGATTTTAGTTTGGGTATCTCGATTTGAAAAATCGAGCTCTGCTACTAGTAATGATTATTGACTATAAACTAATATCAGGGTGATAAAATTTGAGTAGGCCTATGAGTTCAAAATGACAATGATGCAAGTTTACAGTAATTAAACACTGCTGTCTGAGACAGGCCTTCTTATCTTCTCCCCAAGAATCTGCAAAAGATAAGCAATATTTGATAGTCATAAGTGATAGCCAGTTCAAATAATTTATTTTAAAGTCGTAATTTAATATTTAAAAAATAAGGTGATTCATTTGGTTTTTAAAATGTCTATCTTTGTTTGTCCTGAAAACTTATTGCATTATACTTAGTTACCTTTATTAAATATCTTAAGACTGACAAATATAAAATGTATGTGCTGTAAAGATGATATGAAATTGGATTGACTCTTGTATAGCTAAAAAGTGTTCTGATAGAAAAAAAATCTCAAATGACTGCTGTGCAAATTTGAATTGAACAGTCAATGATTAATTGGGATATGAGTCAAGTCCACTGACTCAGTTGATGTGAATTCATGAATCACCACTCTTAACTGGAATTGTGACAATTAAGTATGGACTCATGAGAGAGCCATTATTGTCTACGCTGAGCTTGAATAACTGTTGAACAACACTAATAGTGAACAAATTACTCTAAATTATGCTTATATTAAAACATAAATAAAATTTTTTAGGTCCACTTTATGCATTGTGGCTTTGTAGAATGACTGAGCTTTGTAATACAGAAGCAATAATTGTAACTCAGACAATTCAGCAGGTATTCAGTGTTTATTTTGTTATTATATATTGAAAGTGGTGTAGACTTACAGTATGAGTTAATATACTACACCAAGCTGTGAGATTAATGTCATTCTGTAATATTGTAATGAGGATTGACTTATAGATAAATTTTAAAATATTAATATTAATTGAGGTTTCCAAAATTTAAAAGCAAGAGAATAAAAAAATGCTAATTTTGCTCTTTTAACCTCATTTAAATATAAAACTCAAACTTTAAAATTATGATTTTACATTAGGTGCCAAAGCCTTCCAATAGTTATCTACATCTGTAACAAGATCTTGCAATAAAATAAAATAGTTTTGTTCATATATAATTAATCAGTCTTGCAAGTACAAGAGTAATAGTTGTAATCAAAGATTCCTTCTCTTTTCATAATAAAATGTACAGGAGACAATTACAATCAATGGATGCAGAAAGTTAGTGGGATTTTTTCCTGGTAAACGGCCACATAACAAGACAAGTTATAGGCAGGGAGAAGACATTAATAACTTCTCTACCAATTCAAATTTCTTGTTATGGCCATTGACATATCCAATGAACTACCCAAAACACTGCCAGTGTTAATACATTTTTAGATAGGCTTACCTACACTTTTGGATATTTAAGGTGCGTCGTCTAAGACGCGTCTGAAGCGATCATCGCAGAGCGGGTATCGCCGGGCTATGATCGCTGGGCTTAGATCGTTTTAAGGCCATTGTCCAAAAACGCCACTATTCAGTTCAACAGCTGGTTGCAGACTGTGTTAAAATGTAGTTTGCTCTTGTAATGAGTGTTATTAGCAAAGTGTTGAAGATCCAGTTGATCGATGAGATAGAAGACGAGGAAGTTCTGGACCTAGATAGTAAACCTCTATTGTTCTCACAGTGTTTTCAAAAAGAGAAGTGAGAAAGGATATTTTAAAATACTTATCAAGAACCACTTTACGCCTACGGTACAAGATTTATTTTACCAAAGTTCATATAAAGCCGACCCTCAGACAGGCGTGGCCCTTGGAATAGAATCCCAGAGCCGCAATGTGTGTTCAAATTGTCAATGTTCATGTGTCCTGCAGTTCACACGTCAACGTGCGTTCAGCTGCGTTTTTCATCAACCCACGCGCCAAGTGATCCACTGTTCAGGGTAATATTTCTAGGTGATGTGTGCTACGGTTAGTTTGTAACCGAGCGTTATATGTGGCAAATCATTCTTGAAACTGAATGTTTCAGTTAGGCTGGGTCCGCCCTACAAAGCATCCATGCAGCCAATCTGATTGTACGTAACAGAGTTCACAGAGTGAATACCTCGTTATGGACGATTATAATAGTACGATCCACCCAGTTGCGACTGAACAGGCTTTCTGGTGAATCCCTAGAACTAGAGAACTGCATCACGTGAACTGGGAGCCGGTTGAGGACGTCAGAAGTCTGTCAAACGAGATGCAGACAGCTATGACTAGGCGTGTACTGACCAGAGTGAGTAATTTCCCAATTTATGGCACTTCACCACTGTAGGCGCTCCATTAGTCCCTAGGCGTCTGTCTGAGAATCTTTGAAAACGTAACAAACGGATATTGACGCGATGGACCCGAGCACTGGATACCAAGGTCTTCGTTTTCTCCAAGTCAATGTTTTCGGTTTCAATAAAGTTCAACGTTCAAAATAATGCCGCCTTTACCCAGTTGGAGTGGTACGCTGACAGAAAAACAACACATATATGACTATACTGTGCACAATAACTATAGCTAGAGGATGATAATGGTTTTGTGTTTCGGCGTTTTCAATTTCCACGTGATGTCCAGGCACGTGATAGTGACATTTGCCGCTTAAAACTCACAGGTGGTGGAGGGGAAATAAAGAGCTCAGTGTTGATGTTGTTCCCTAGTAGTGATGACAATATTTAATTACTGTCTAGTTTGACTAATTGAAATGTGGACCTTATCTTTTTGTAGCCTACATGTTCCACAAGTTCATGTGTAAAAAACCACGTTAAAAGTCCTTGGTCTGTTCATCCTATGATTAGGTTCAGATTTCAGTGAGGAGTGTTTCATATACATAAAAAGTGTAAGAACTATAATTTTTTAATTAGTTGTGTTTGACACAAACATCTTTCTACGAACTTGCGAGCAACATGAGCACTTTTGAAAAGTAACGAAAATATACTCTTGTGCATTATTTTTTCTAAACACACCCATTTGATTCAACATAACTTATTTAGAGGGCACAAGCAAAAGGTTTTACCAACAGCCGTTTTTAAAGTAGCCTTTTCAGTTTAGTTCTTAGAATTGAAAAGTTTCTCATAACAGCGTTTACTTTCATAACAACATAGTTTTACATAACAACATGGGTAACGGACCAATGAGGTTCAAGGATTGAGAGAGTAGAAGTAAAATTGTAATGATTCAAACTTCAACTAATCAGCTGGTCAGGCCAATTTAATTGTTCAGTGGTGCAATTAGTGTTTGGTACAATGTTTCGTTGCATCACTGTCAGTGGCAACGAGACGTTATAAACGAAAACATAACCTCTCTTAGAAGTTATGAGTAGTGATTTTTAATAATTAACATGTTCACTGCGGCCCATCAAATGGCAGGCTTAGCCCCAGTGCAGCGCAGCCCGCAGCGTCGAACAAACCCCATTGCCGGGTGATGGGCTTTTATAAATTTTGGTGTGATGAATAGCAAATAACGTGCGGTGATGTCCTGCTTTACAACAAGAATCAACATAGTTCGCTATAACACTTAACAGATAGCAACTAACATAGCAACACTGCTTGAAACATAGCCGGTCTCATTGTATTGCCAATTGGAGGGAGAAAGACGGGACAAGAAATTGATTTTTAAGCTTACCAGACGGGGATTTTACGGGGAAGTTTACTACCAACATACACCACAACAAAAAGCAAGCTTCACACTACATGCTAACGTGGTATAGGTCCGCATTTGACCAACGCTAGAGCAAAAACCAAGATATATGAAAGGCGTTCCCGATCGAGTACGGATGCACCCTACGGGCGCCGAGCACCGTACCCGATCGGGAACAGCCACATGCTACATGTTAAAACACTGTCATAGGTAAAGTAGTGTACGCTACTCGCGTAAATGGTGTTACACTCGTAGAGGTTTTTAAGACACTCACCAAGGCTCGTAGTACCTTAAATTTTCTACTCGTGTCGTAATTAATCAACATTTCCTAAATCTACTGCTGGTATTAAAAAAAATGCCATGTTGCTCCAGCAAAACCTTTACTGCTGCCGACCTGTTTTGCATAAATGCTTCCATTTAACTCATTAGAACTAGGGACGCCTGGCAACTGCTGCTCATCGGATTTCGCTGCATATCCAGCCTTTGATGATAAAATAACTTGTACACCAAAGTTTAGGAAAAGTATAACTTAACATTAGTCGTCTCCATGTACTCTATTGCTACAATGAAAAGGATTTGTCATGTATTAGGTTTAAAAAAAAACCATCATTAAATTATTTTATAACCAATGAATGTCAATACACTCGGGTAACTAGAGCTGTAACCTTTTGTGGTAGCATTAAAAGTAAACAAATGTTCTTTTTTTACCTTCACAGGTTTCAATAGTAGGAATAAATATGAGTTTGATGGTCTTTAAACACATATAATTGGGCCTTATTGTTTGATACTTTTGTTTAATTTATAATGAATTGAAGAGAAAGGGCAGACTCTGGGGCACAGAAATATGAACCATCGCTTATTGTGTAAGCACCACTTGCCACTAACTGGTTAAGTCTATGTTCGTATCCTTGACCAGGTCTAGGAGCTTTTGTCCAATGCTAGCGTCTGATTCATCTCCTGGTAGCTTGAAACCAAACACGGTTCTTCTCCTATCCCCAAGCCTCTCTCATCCAGAATGACATGCTCTGCAGTATCATTAGATTCTTATACCTTTTATTTTACAGGCCTGAAGGAGATGCGTGAGTACAAGATCGTCGTCCTCGGAAGTGGAGGTGTAGGGAAATCTGCCCTCACAGTCCAGTTTGTCCAAGGCATCTTCGTTGAGAAGTATGATCCCACGATTGAAGACAGTTACCGCAAGCAAGTAGAAGTTGATGGACAGCAATGTATGCTAGAGATATTGGACACTGCCGGAACGGTAAGTTAAACATCCTTAGGCCTATTTAGTCTTGGGCATATAGGATTGCTAATTTGAGACTCTGATTTTTTAGCCATACATTAGTGCGATTGTTAAATTAAAAATTATTTCTTCATTCCTTGTGATTTTTAAAAGTCTCTAGTATACAATGAAGTGTATGTCCCTAATGTTAATTTGTACCTTGGCAACAAGATCTAACTGATGGATCACAAAATTCATCAAGCATTCATAGAATCAAACTGATTACCGGTACCTCCCGTTTCATATTGCAGGGATTTCAGAAGTATATGTATATACCTACCTGTATTTTTCATTTTTTCAGCGTTTTTTTTGTGCCTTTAAAAAAATATTGGTAATGGGCACCTTATTAATTTTAAATATAATAATCCTTAATAGCTGCCTAACTAAATATAAACAAAATGTTAACATAAAACAGTATTATATAGCTACACAAGGTAAAACAATTTATATAGTCGTCTCAATTTTTGCATACCTTTACAAAACATGCTTTTCGTTTAAAGTTTTTAAAATATTTTCATCAAATATTGTCTGGCTTATAATATTGTCAGTTGTTGTAGCATTGTGAAAGAATCGTCCTCTTTGAGACAAACCTTGGACAAAGGTGGATGATTATTATCTCGTAGTAAGAAGTTGCAATGGTAGGTAATTGTAGAATATACAAAGTATTTTATTCGTGTCAATTGATGAGGTAAGTAGAGTCTGAATAAGGGATACTTTCAGGCACATCAACCATAGCTTCTTGTACATTAACATGGAACTAACCATGTTACGTTTACCATCTCTTCTTCTGTATCCCAGATTTTCAAAGATCTTAAACATCTTAAATCTTGTTTAAGGTTTAATACATTGGTAAGCCTACACTCATTTGGACTGTTAGTAAGCTTTTTAAGGGAAGGCTCTAGGCCAGGATTTTGAATTATAGTATAAGGGTGATAGCAGCTAGCTTACCTTAGAAGAACACCTAGGCCATAGAACATACAATATTTCGTCCCTAGGTGTACTTTGTCAAGTGTAGAGAAAGAGAGTTCACAAAATGGTGAACCATGCTCACCATCCGGATCACAAAGTCCTGCATTGGTGTTTAAATAGCCATTTTGTGAACTCTCTCTACACATAGGGACGAAATAAGTGTTCTATGTTTCTTCTTTCTTCTCTGTGTTCTATGGTCTACCTGTATGTTTTCTAAGGAAAGCTAGCAGCTCTCCTGCTTTATTTTACTACTCAACATAACCTGTTTTAGCTTACCCAATATGTCATCTATTGAATCATTGTAGGATAACTTATACTTATACTGTTTATTTAGTACTGTATACTTGTACTGTAAAATGACAAATGAAAATTGTTTTAATAACTAGGCCTACAGCTATTACAAGAGTAACTCATGAAACAGTGTTTATGAAATACAGTATACAATAGCAAAAATAACACTTCCCTTAAATTTGATATGGTGTTTTTTTAAATTTTTACTTCAGAAAAGACTTGTTACTATCAGTTATCTATGGAAAATTGATAACTAAAAAATGGTTGCCAATATTGTGTTGGCAGCAAATTAAATTTAATTCAACAATAGGCTATGTACTTTTATGAGGATGATAGGTGAAGGTGAATGATGTTGAGAAGTCTAACCATCCTGTGTTGTTTAAGTAAACCACTGTCTAGTGCTCCACTCACAAGCAAATGTAGATAAGATAACATTTTGAACTTCCTCTCATCATTGTGGGTGGTTTCAAACACATTTCTGATTGAATTCAGGGTTCTCCTAAAGTGTCTTTGAAAACCTAAAACTCTGAGAGGGTCTTGGAAAAGGCCTGGAACACTTCCCTCGGTCTTGAGATAATTGTTATCTTTGTACTTAACATTTCTAATTTGCTTTATTATTGTTATCTTTGTACTGTCTTTCAATGTATAACTAATGAAGCCTATTTTAATCTTGTATTATCTTCATGATTCTTGATTCTCAACGTTTGCGACAGCAGCATGCTTACATGTTGGATTTTGTCCAATTAATGGTACTGCTTTTCTAAACAGCCTGAAATTACTTCCGACACCTAAATGGTGATAGATGATATAATTAAAGAAGCAAATTTTTAAAATCCAAATCGCCTGTCACTTCTCAAAACAAATCCTTAGAAAAATTGTTTTCTGAGTACAATTAACTATAGATTATTTAAATATTGCTTCACACATCAGTTTACTTTTAGTCAACAAACTTTTGACTAACCCTTTTAAAGAGTAAACCCCAATGTATCAGACAACATCACTGAGCAATTTTCACTTAGATGCATTGTAAGTGTGCTAGAGATGCACAGCAGCTAGGAGAGAAGTCCTCAACTACTTTGCGAGGACATTGAGTTTATCGGTACTGTTTAATTGTGCAGTTGACAGTTTAGTCAATTGATAACTGAGTGATCTAAGGCTGTCTCTTTAGCTAAGCTACACAATCTTAGATTGTTGAAACCTTGTTTTGGTCTGCAACGTCTGCATCTGTGTATTGAAAGCACTCGGTTTGATAATAATTGTCCTTGTCTGCACCCTTTGTATTTTCTTACTTTGCAAAACAATGTTCACAATGTCTTGATTGGACTCACCCTTCTTTGTTCAGACGATTCAGTTTATCCACCTTCGTCCAAATCATAAATCACATTTGTATGCATTACAATGTTTTAATTTTTTTAAAGACCATTTTGATCAATCTTAGTTTTGATTAAGTGATTGGGTCATGTCAGATTCTACTACATTAGTTTTGCCTTATTTTTGTCAATAGATAAGTAGGTCTACTTTGTACATTTTGTGAGTGTTAGAATTAAGATTGCACAAGATAAAAAATATTTTATTCTACTCGTAGATAGACACCTATTTGTATTAGACTGGATTTAAAGTAGAAGCTCATATGAACTGAACTTATAACTACTAGCCTTAACTTATCATTAAAAATGTTGTATACAAAGTTGTTCGTAAAACAACATCTGATCTACTGTAACAGTTTAATGATGCTACCAGTATCAGCATGTCTTGCACACCAGATGATACCTGTTATATTATTGTATTATTCCTCCTGTGAACTTTACAAGTGTCATTTGACACTGTTTTACGGAAATTCATCAGTAAACCACATACGAGATAAGAACTGCAATTCAGTTAAGTCCGTCAGTGTACAAGCTTTTAAGAAGTTATTGTTCTTCAAGCTCTGCTCTTTGCTTGACTGCCAACTTATGTTCACTAGAGTATTTCTAAACTTGAACACAATTTAGAATTAAGTGGGCTATTAAAATTTTCATAAAACCTGGATATTTCACACAGCATGTAACAGCCGGCTCCAATACTTTCTGTTACACGGGTCCCCGGTAGCTCAGATGAAGGGCGGGGTTGACTGAGAGCAATCTTGCTGATGACACTATTAACTATTTGTATTTTGAAGGCGCCACCTTGTTGAGGGTGATGCAGCAGGAGGGTAACAAGGAACCCCAAATCCTTCCCAGAAGTCAAGTTTTACTCAGTCAGTAAACACGGATTTGATAAACGTAAGATGTTAATTGGCCGTGTCTTGACAAACCTTGAATTGTTAAAAAGAAATCGTCTCACTAAACCCTTACAGTAAGTTAAATTGAAATCTTTCTTTGTACTTCCCAAGTAATAATCTTATGCTACCTGTTTAAAGCCAAAGGTAAACAAAAGTACTCAAAACTGAATGCTGAGACACAAATTTATTATGTTATTTAAAAATTCCAAACACAATTGTCTCAGTGATAACAAAAGAATAGATTCTTAATCAGTTAATAGTGGCTCTCCCTTGATTTATAATTAATATCAAAACAACAATCTAAATAAATTCAATAATCTACTAGGATACCAAGGAACAGATAGTTCTCAATTAAAATAGTTCCCACGAAATATTAGATAGGCAAAGATATCCTTATCGCTAAATAAACAAATTAAAGTATCAGAGAACACTTAATTACTTCACAATTCTTTCAATTATTTACACAATAGACATGTCCTGACGGTGGCCACCGGAACACCTAAACAAAACAAAGTAGACACAAATATCTTAAAAGCTAGACATATTTACAACAAAGGATTCGTTGAAAGAGAATCCAGATTATGAATCCATTGTGCTGTATCGATGACAGTCCCAGTTTCCGATGCCGAAAATAATCACCAGATATTGAAAATCTGAAGTCACTCACCGAGTTATGGGGCCCCAATCACACAGTCACCTCGACAATACACATCCGGTCGCGATACCGTGCGGTTCAGTGCGGCAGTGGCAGCCGCAAGTCGATCACGTGTGACGCAGGTCGCAGGTAGATAGGCAGTGGTAGAGTGAGAGTCCAAGTGTGTCGCTCATCCGACAGCATTCACAGCCTCCAGTACCCAGGAGCAGCGAACAGTAGTAGGGTAGGCAGTAAAACCCAGTGGTAAAACCCTCAGAGTTCTCCAAATTTGGATACAAATAATCCACCAACGATGGTGAGCTGAGAGGCTAGATTCCTTGATCACTTCGTCACTCTCCGTTCAGATCCTAAATGAGGCTGTGGCGTAGGGTCCGAATAGTTGGCAGGTCCAGACAATCCAACTGATAACCGTCCCGGACTGATAAGCGGTTTGACTCCAGGACTCCGGTCGTGAGTAAAATTGGGCAGATGGTAATTTAACGGATCCTTCACTTCATGGTGGCAATCTGTATGCAGCTCTGTTTAACGGGTATTCCAACATTGAAGGCGCGACCTTCAATTAAGTTATATTTAATGGGGTGATCAGTCCCATTTGGAATATAGTAATAAACAAGAGTGTTACAAGCAATTTTAATTTTTTTGCTACGAGAAACAGTTCATCAACATGATAAGCTAAGCCGTGGATAATAAGTGAAAAGACTTAGTGAAAAAAAGTGTTAGTAGGCCTAAATGTGTATGACCACACATTGTATAACTTCTCCTAATTGAATTTCTCTCTGCTTCCCCCATCTCTCAGCTACAGTGCAAACAGAGACCTGGGGTTGAATGGACAGCTATATGCACATATTATAATTTAAAATTTTATAAGTGGTGTTTTTTGTTGGTTACGAGATTGTCCGTAAATTAATTAAGGTCATTGTCTAGCTCCCGTTGCAACCAAGCAAGCTAATTCAAATCTGATACCAATGTTGTGTCCTTTACTTAATCTGCTACTATTCTAGCTGGTTCTCACTCCAATGGGACAGTTCAAGTAGTATTCAAAAGCACATTGAAAGAAAATGGAGGCTCCCGCCAAGTATGAATCACTTTCTGTTACTAGGTTTCAGTAGGAAAGTGGTCAATTTGTGGTGATTACTGTTACCAGTTAACTGATATGTATGCAGTAAAATGGTTTGACATAGAAAATAATGTGTATTAGTGGCTTGCAGAATGTGTAGAGGTCTGTACATAATTGCGCAATGGGTCCAGTAGCAGGTGTTCATCAGTTTCCAATGTGACAGTACCTAATTGAATTTGAGGAAATTTGGCTTGCATATTGGCAAGTTACAAGTTCTAGAGCTACTATAGTTCTTGTTGTTAGTCTTATAGAAACGTCTCCTATCCTATTAGATAATTGCTCTCGTTCAGTCAAACTGCAATTTGTATGCAAAATTACCCTACCCTTCGTCACTGATTTAAATGAGATTGATAAACAACAGCAGTCGGCCTAGACCACAGTAATCATGAATGTTTAAGATCATCTCCTGACTCCCTCCACCCATTTAGAACATTTTCCAAATCCAAATACTACTGACTCCATTCTAGTCCTGTTAACTGGCAATGGGCTAAAAAAGCGTTTGATGACTTGAGACCACCAGAAATCTAATCTCATGACTCAATTTTATACATGGCTCAATTTTCTTTCAGAACGTTTTTGAATATTATGATGAGGCTAATCTTTCCATAAGTAAGAGTATGAACCTACTAGAAAAGTAGTTCCTACGACAGGTGCTCGATGAAGACCTTAATTTACGCACAGCCCTCATACAATATTTATGATGGTATTTTTTAAGACAGAAAAATTATTGATTTCAATAAAAACACAAACTTAGGTCTGAAAATGGAGGAACTATTTTAATCTTATTATTTTTAACATGTTTACTATGTTTTTCAATCTTGCCATGGCTGGTTTAGCTCAGATTACTTGAGACTCTGCTGTGATTTTTATTGTTCTATCAATAAATCACTTATTATTACTGATCACTTGTTTTTTAACATCCTCGATTACCTTTCAGTCAACATAATCTGAACCTGTTTGATGTTTCAGGAACAATTCACAGCAATGAGAGATCTGTATATGAAAAATGGACAAGGATTCGTTCTCGTGTACTCCATCACAGCTCAGTCAACGTTTAATGATCTTCAAGATCTTCGAGAACAAATATTACGAGTAAAGGTAAATACTGAATGGATAATAGCAATAACATTTTGAATAGCTTTAGCCTACTAATGATACAGCTTTTTCTATTTCAACAGGAGTTGAGTTGCTTCAACGCAGAAGTATTCATAGTGTTATGTAATAGAATTGAAAACAAATTCACTCCAATTAGACTTTTGAACTTATCAGTTTATATAAATATGTCTTGGGTTTTGGTAAGATTACTTATATCTTTGAGCGAGAGACTTTTGTTTTGGGGTCCAGATTCTAAATTCGCCAATCCCCATTAACTTTTGGTTCGGTAATAATAGGCTACCATAACCAATGATAGAACCCATCCATCAATTCCTATCCTATTCATAAGATCATCTTGGTATAGAGATAATGTCTTTGCACACTTTGAATCTGAGCACAGCCCTAGAGGGGTCTTATTCCATTACAGTAGCCTTAAATCTTAGCTATGGTTTCCAACACAATCATCCTCCTGTATTTTTTAACACTGGCCAACATCCACTGTAGCGAGGTCAGATTCTATAATGTGACTTGATAAACCTGACAATTCTTGCCTTCAATCAATAAAGTTGTCAAGTTCATCATACTGACAATCCAAAATTCACAGCCATAAGTGACAGCGGCCTTATTAAAGCGTTCAATGTGGCTGCCCGATGGCCAACCGCTGCTGGTGGCGCAAACATCTAATGCACTTCGTGGACGAGTGCCCGAAAACGTTTAAATTTAGTTTCATCCAAATGAGAGGCATATACTGCGTCCTAGTCGTTGTGGACGTAGTTTTACAAGAGCCCAACCGATAGATAGCAGCACTAAACAATACTGGTGTCCGGGCTTAGTATTGTCAAATGGAGGGAAAAAGCAGGGGTGAATTACCCAGATACACAATAAAAAATACTGCAAAAAGTGGTCAAGCACAATTTTGAGGTTAGGTTCCTTCCACAATGCTACAGTACATTCATTAACGTTATTCTATTGCATGTCATTAGATCCAAGCCTAAATCCCACACTACCCCTACCACCAATAAAGTAGCCGGATCAGTAAACAAACTATACAGTGGAACCTCGCTAATCCGTCACCTACGGGACCGGGAGCATGGCCGGAACAGCAAAAAGGTTGGATTATCAGAGGAACAAGTTTATTGACATAAAAACATAGTAAAACTGTATTTTCAACAGACCACGGATAACTGAAAACCACGGTTAATCCAACATGACATAAAACAGTTATTTCTAACTCGTAAACAAAGCCTAATACTAACTGTATTTAAATGTACTTTAATGTGGTAATTTGCATATTACATCATAAAAATACAATTAGTAGGCTATTGCGCAATCATGATAATTATGTTAAGTCTTTAACCTTGGTTCAGTAATAACAACTGTAACGTTTAAAATCACAGCTTTTTCAAACTTTTACTCAAACAAACAAATTGCCAAACATTGTACAGAAAAATAAAGAACAGAACAAAAAAAATCTAGTAAGCAACTGCTAATCAAAGGCTACTGCTATGCTGCTTCAGGACAGATGAATGTCAATAAAAACATTAGATAACGAATAAAACAAGTATAAAATAATAGTAGCCTACTTATAAATTATAACAACAGTTGTAAAATACACCGATAAAGATTTAACAATGACATAAAAATCTTCTATTCTTTCTTGAGTACACATTCTTCATGCACAGGTTATGTTAGCGGAAGCCTATTGTGTTGGTGGGGCGGTCGGACCTAGCGAGGAGTCGGACCATCGTAGGTCGGATTAGCGAGGTTCTACTGTACCAGATTGAAGTATAACACTGGTATAATAAGCGGCAAGAGAAACAACGTCTCACGGCATTGGCTAATCTCGCATTGGAACAATAATTTGTAAACGGCGCTTTGAAGAGCATACTCTTGGCGCGCCACTGGAAAGCGCTAGCTGTGACAAGATTTCTCGTCATGCGCATTGAACGTGTTAACATCTGAGTTTGGAACTTTCTTCTACTGACCAGTGTGATATTCCCAATTTATGATTTGTGCCTATCTTAATTATGTCTCAGTTCTGTCTTGATTCTGTTAAATATATGCATCCATCTGAAGCTATGAATACTCCCAGATACTTGAAAAAGACCCCTTTAAACTTATAGCCTTCAATAACCAAAATATAAACGTCTTCTGTGTACGTCCTCTGCACCACCAACCATTACCAATTACCATTACCATTAGCATTAGCTCTGTGTACCAATTCTCCTTGCATTTTCCTTTGAGTATTGACACATTTTTTAGCTTCCAAACCTATCTGGCAACAGTTATTACATCATCAGTATATATTTAGCCAGTGTTTGACTGATCTTGTAAAATATTGTTCCAGCGGGACCAATTCCTCTTTATGTATGCAATGTAAGACTGAACTAATCAGTGATGCAGGCAAACCATATCCTTGCTGCATACACTCCCCTCCCCCATATTATCAACAGGAACTCATAAGCTAATTTTTTTGCACACTTTAACTTTTGACATTTCCTCCTAGTGTAATTTCCTCTTATCCGGACTCCTCGGGACCTTGGCCAGTCCGGATAACGCTTTTCCGGTTAAACTGACATCCCCAAAATACGGGAATCACTTGAAAACTAACCCAAATATTTGACTTAAATTTAGAAGAGCACTGTATTTAAACACGAGATCACTGATCTCACATCTTTCGCACGAGAACAGTCGTTTCAGTACTGCCCACTTCCTACCGATCTAGTCTAGTTAAACCGATGTGCTGATAAAAATTGTCCGGTTAAAGCGATGTCATTTCCGCCGAGTGTAGTCCAGTTAAACCAATGTCCGGTTAAAGGGTTTCCGGATAAGAGGGAGTCTACTGTAAGTGATTTACTTCTAAGGGATACCCATGGTCTACATACAGTTTTCTCCTCTTTAAGCCATGAAATATGTGTTTATTTATTTATTCATATCAACGGTCAAACCGATACTTATATATGTCAAAACGTAATATAAGTTTTAACCCTCCCAGTGTCAAACACCGATGGTAATGACACACTCTGGGGTGTCATGCATCGATGGTAGTGCAGACGGTTACATATTGTCTTTTAACTCAGTAAACTTCAGTCCGATTTGGACTGGATTGATATCATTGTTAACAGCAGAAAACTGGCTTTCTTCTGGTGTCTGTTTCACAACCTTACTTTTGTTTGTCTGTTTCCAGATGTTTTAAGACAAAGGCAATGTTTTGGTTGCCGTGTTGCGTGTTGTTGTTGTTGCTTACAAGTTGTTTGTTACTTTATTTTCTTTATTGGAAACTGATTTTTATCTGCTTAGACTACATATTAAGATGTACAAAATAATCAGTGATGACTAACTTTTTGGTTCAATGTGTTTGCAGTAATATATTTGAAGGTTATGTGTTATGGCAGTAAGGGTATTGTAATAGGCTTTTGAAGTAAATTTTCAATAAATAGAAGAATAAATATAACAATATAACAGGATATAAGTTATAACAATATAACAATAAAAATAAGAAATAAATATAACAAATTATAATAAATAACAATATAAATAGGAAATGTAACAATAGTAGAATGTATAAATAGACAATAGGAATGAAGAATTGAATAAGAAAAGAGAAAGAATAACAACTCTGGAAAGCATAATATGGACAAGAACAACAAAACAATAACATTGAATCAATGAGGAATAGATTTTCTTTTGTGTCATCTACACTTTTCCGGCGCAGGTCCGTCAGTCACTCTGCCTTACATCAGTCAATTTCAGATTTATTCCGGGGAATTGTTTGGACGCCTGACAGTCGTGTGATGTATGTGTTTGACGTATGTTTTGTTCAGTTTATGGTAGTTTTCATTATAGATCTTAAATTAACTGTCTTGTGTCCTCCAAAATATTGAAAGAACTATCTCTATTAGTATAAATAAGCTTGACTGTAACATCACTGTAAATAAGGTGACGGAAGACTGACTGAAACCAACTGACAGATAGTTGACCGTATTTTGGATGCAGCTGAGACTGAACTGTGACATAACTGTGACTGAACTGATGTGAATCGACCTTTACACAGACAGATCACCGTACTAAGACTTTCCTCGCTTGAGCACTTTGTGGACTAGGCAGCAGGTCAGCTTTGGGTCATCCATTGGGCTGATCTTTGCAGCATCCCAAAAGGGGGGCACGTGGTCAAAGCGATAAAGGATGAAAATGAATCTTACTGCATGATTTTCAAATTCTGTGAATCCTTGTCAAATCCTTCTTCGAGATGCTGTTTCCATATGCAGGAAAACAATATGTACCAAAAGGCTAGGAGGACCAGTGACCGCATGAGCTGCGTTTTAGCATATTCTGGCAGTAGGGTTTTAAACCTGTTCAGACCTTTCAGTCCACCCACTGCACGTTGAATTGCAGATGTGACGTGGTTAGAAAAGATATATTTGTCAATTCAGTGTGTTGACAGTGTTATCACAGACATCCCCTTACCAACAAGGGTGACTTCTATATAGCAGATTTTCTTGATTCATGCATCAGAATGTGTGGTCTAGTATGCATGACAATGACAACACACTTGTCAACATTCAATCCAAGACCATTCATGACAGACCATTGAAAAAGGCTGTGCAAATCAGCATTGATGAGCCCAATTGGCCAGCAGAAACATTGCACCGTGTAACAGGCAATAATTTTAAAGGGGGGTTTTTATGGCTCCCCTAGTGACTTGCAAGCCTAGCCTATAAGAAAAATCAACAGATTCTAGACCTGTCACAGTTTAGCATTGCCATTCTTCATTAGCTCAAACTATATGTATTCAGTGTTAATTTTGAAACATATTTTAATAATCAATAAATAATAACTAAGCTTATTATTCTTTGGTCAATCTAGTGGAAATCTTTGTGCTTTTAAAATGCTTGTCATAGCCTCCAGTGCCACATAAGGGGAGGGGATTCAGTTTAACTTCAGGTGTTAGGTGTTGTTATCTTGATAATATCAGTTTTATGTTATTTTATATTCGAGTCCAGGTATATTTACTATTTCTCCATACCCCTGTAGTTTATTATCACAATATAATCTTGGGGCATTCAAATGTGTTTTACCTTAAATGTAACAAGATACATTTTCAATATCATTTCTGTGATTTTATCTGTTACCTATACATGTGATTTTAATTCGCACAGAGTAAACATGAAAATTTGCTGATAATGAGTCCAAAAGACCTGGACTAGCCCTAGGTCCTGTCTTGAATAACTCCCGGGTATTCAGGAGAGGGTTATGTCAAAAACTACTACAGCTGTGTAATAAATAAGTGACCGGTTTCAAAATTGTAACTTCTCCTTTGTTTTATGCTGTTATAAATATCCTTAAAGTTAAAACTCTATTGCCATTTTTATCTTGCATTTCAGGATACAGATGATGTGCCAATGGTCTTGGTCGGCAACAAATGTGATTTGGAAGAAGAGCGAGTGGTTGGAAAGGAGCAAGGAATCAATCTTGCACGCACATTCAACTGTGCATTCATGGAGACTTCTGCTAAAGCCAAAATTAATGTTAACGATGTAAGTATTACAGTTTAAAGTTAAATTATTTGTTCATCAATAAAATTTTAGTTCTTATTTTTGCTATCTCCATACAAAAATAGTCTTTCACTACAGTATGCAGCCATCAACTTAAAAAATATTTGTCAAGTTGATTTAGTTTTAATGGCAAGCAAATAGTTCAGACTAGGTTCTTGAACACATATTCTTTAAGCGAATTATTTTTTTTAGAAGGGTCCACCTATAGAAATTCCCTTCTAGGTTATCAAGGAGTCGGGGGGGGGGGCTTAAGCTGGCAAAAGGACTATTGGTAGTTTATAGATAATTTTCAAAATTAGTGACAGTAATTAAAACATCAATACTCAATACTTTGAAAGACATCAATAATAGCAAATTTGACACATTGCATGGATTTCACAGTCAGCCCATCGTAGTTAATTCACAAAACTGGAAAATTAATATGCAGTCTACTATCTCAAATAAAAAACTATTTATGATTTAAAATAAATAACATAATATGTGTTTGTATTTTAAAATAAGATCTATTTTCAAATAACGATGTCCAAGAGAATAAGTCAGCAAAGTTCTGTCTCAAGCTGGCCAGCCAATTCTTCATAAAAAGCAGTAACACATCACTCATTGAATATGTGCTACACTGTCATGCGAGGATTGTTCGTAAATTAAGCTTTCCATCAATCTCTTGTGGCCAAGCAGGCTAGTTCCACTACTATTCTAGCCAGTCCCCACCCCTATCTGGTGATAAGTCTCGTCCTAATAGCTGAGAATGATATGAATGAGAATTGACGCTCCCACCAAGTATGATCGTGTTTTGTGATTGGATGACTTCCAATAATTGCACCTACTTGTTTCCGTGGGGGGGGGGGATCCTACCCCTAGCTAATTCGCCTTTAGATCTTTTGTAGCACGCCCCTAAGCTGTAAAATGCCCTAACATCTTATCTCCTCAAGTTTGAGTTGTGGCCTTTTCAGAGAATTAACTTTCTTTGGGCCAGACAGTCCAGCCACAATTGTATCAAGGTTCCCACCTTGTTTTCGCAGAATTTGAATTGGTCTGTCTTTGACCTCCCAATGGTTCTTAGATGTTTCCTTTTATGGCCGTGTCCAGTTATCACCCCACTTCTGATGTCCTCCTTTTTAGGCTCAGTATGCCTATCCATTCCTTCCTTTAGGAGTCTCTCAGTATTTTTGATATCTTTAGTCCTGGGTTGGTCCTCCAAACCTGTCTTCTGGACCTTTTTCAGTTGTGGACTTTGGTTTCTCCAAAACTAATTGAGGCCCCATAGTAAGGTTCTGACCCTGTTAGCTGTTCTTCCGCACCTTCTGGCGAAGGCATAAGCTTTCTCCCTTCATTCCCCGAGTGATCTTTACTTGGTTTTGTCTTGTTAGGGTTTTTGAGGGTGTTTTTTACTGTTGTGACGCTGTCACACATGATCCCAACGCCCAAAATAGTCGGCTGTCTGAGGCCCAATTCACACAGAACGGAAGTCAGGCGGAGACGTGGCACGGACATGACAGAGACATGGCGTGTACAATGCACACTGAAGGGACTGTACAGTGGCGAGAAAACTTTTATGTAGACTAGACGCTTTGGTTTTTGCTTATTTCTGTTGGTTATTTATGTCAATTGAATTAGTTATTTATATCGACTGAATTAGTTATTTCTGTCACTTAATTAGAACGACTGTGATCATACAAACAAGGGAATTGTTCAACTTCCTCACAAAATCTGATATTGAATTCAATGTCGTCTCGCATTGTGTAAAGGTCAAGAAACAAATCACAATTACTCTAAACACAAAAACAACAAACTAGGTGGTAAGTACAATATTTGCAGTCCAAAAAGACAAGCGTGCTACGAACATGCCACTTCCGATACGCCACGAGGGACGGCGAAGTGACGTAGCGGTGGCGGGAGGGCGGCCGCCCGCACCACGTCACTTGTGTGTGCATTGACCAATTTGTTTACATGGAGAGGCGAGGAAGGGACATATGTCCTTGCCACATCTCCGCCCGACGTCCGTTCTGTGTGAATTGGGCCTGAGAGGATCACTATTTTCTCTTTCCTCAGGTTCTTGTTCAGGATGATTTTTACTCAGCACTCAATCACCAAGACCTCTGAGTAAAAGACTGTTAAGGCCGGTATACATTGTGACAATCTGATTGACCGATTTATTTCTCCGATCCCAGAAAAGAGTTCGTCATAATGCAGTTAGTAAAATCACTTAGTAAACTCTGTTTGATAAATGTGCGACTTGTTTACACGGTTCAACTTGTCATTCCAATTTGGCCGGCATCAAACATCCAAATCCAATACCAATTTGACAAATTGTTCTAATTTGCTTCTGATCTAGATCGAGATATTTAGTCTCCTTGACTGTCTTGACCCTCACTCCCCTAATCTGGGGTTGGGAGATTTTGGTTCTCCTTTTCCTCGTGAAGGTCACTATCTCAGTTTTTGTGGGGTTGATTGTCAAATGTCGATGCAATCTACCGCCCGTTGGGTAAGGTCGTCAATGGTACCTTTGTGTTTCCCTCTCATGGTCAGCACTAGATCATACCAAATCTACCAGATCAGGCAAATGCCTGTAGGTCAATGCCTGTTTGTTCAGCTTCCCTCAGCAAGCCCTCGAGCACGAGTCAATGCCTGTTTGTTCAGCTTCCCTCAGCAAGCCCTCGACCAAGAGTGACCATAAGACTCCTCCTTGCGGACACCGTCTTCTGGCCTTGTTTGTAGCTGACGAGTCTCCGAACGTGGCTGATATTTCTCTGCATTGCAGCAGAACCATTATCCAACACACGACTTCTTGAGGAATTTATCTGTATATCAGTGCTTCCTCTATTGACTGATAGGACACATTATCAAAGGCTCCTTGGATGTCCATGAAGACTCCTGCAAGGATGTCCTTGTGATCTAATGTGTCTTCAATTTTCACTACCAGGCTATGAAGCGCTGTTGTAGTTGATTTGCCCATCATAAAGGCATGTTGGTTCACATTCAGGCTTGAGTTCATGAGAATCTCATCCCTCACATGCCTGTTAATGATCTTCTCCATAGCCTTTACCATGAATGAGGTTAGACATATTTTCTGTAGGATTTAGGCTGAGTTGGTTCTTTTCCTTTTTTTCGTTTGAACACCACTCTAGCTTTTCTCCGTCTACTTTAGATATATCCCAGTGTATAACTGCATAACATTGCAAGGAGGAGATCCACTAGGACCTCCATGCCTTCTTGCAAGAGAGCAGGGAATATCCCGCCTCTCCCAGGAGATTTGAAAGAGCAGAATGAGTTTACTGCCCATTTCACAACCTCTGGTTTGAATATCTTTCCCAACGCCTGTCTGGCTAGCACCACCTTCCTAGGGGACCTCCCTGGGCGGGGCCAATTGGCTCCTTCCCCTATGGGACAGCTCTCCGGGATGTGTACTCTTAGCATCTCCTTTAGGCTGTCGCCCATGTCGGTCGTGAGATAGCCGTCTTTAGCCATTACTGCACCCAAAGGGTTGGATTGTTCGCTCTGTAGTGCTTTCTGGAGTCTGGCCGTTTCTGGTAGACTGGACAGTCTTTTGCAGAATAGCCTCCAAGTCCTTCTTTTGGACTTTTTGATTTCCAGATTGTACTCCGTCAAGGCCCTCGGGTAGGCGTCACGGTCGCCTGTCCTCCGCGTGACAATGAAGAGTTTTCTTGAGTTCTTGAGATTGATGAAGGTTGGTTTGTTATCCAGATTCTCTATTTCTATGCCAACCTTAAAGATATACTCTAAGAGATCCTTACCTATTTCATTGGTGTCGGTGCTCCCCCAGATGATGTGATGGGCGTTGGCATAACAGCCTAAGATGAGTGGCATCCCGTTGCTGCGCGCATGCTGTACCAGGCTTTCCACTGCTTTTGGGGGGCAGGTGTCCCCAGTATTCAGAAAGTATGCCGAAGCCACTGAGGTCTTTTGGCACCCGTTGGCAGTGACCAAGTCTCTATTGGTGAACTCTGGAACAGTAAAACACCTTAAATGTGGATATATACTGATACATACTGATGCAGGCTCTAGGTCTTATATCTGACCCCTCATATATTAGTTTACTCACCTGAGTTGGAGTCCTCGCATCGAATCCCCTTGAAACGCAGGGTTCTTGGATGAGGGCGATGTCCAGCCCTTGTATGGCAAATCTCCGACTCAGGAGTGCTGTGGCTCCTTTATTGTGCTGGAGATTTGCTTTTAGGAATTTAATCCCTATGGTCTCTCCTCCTCCCCCTCTCGGGCGAGTGATGTCCTCCTCTCCCACCTCGAGGACGGTACCCTGAATCCCTTTTTCTGTGTTTTCCCGGGTTTATATCAGACCTGACTGAGGGGCCCCGTTACCTTTCCTCCCTCTTCTATAGTCTGGTTTTCCTAAAGATCAGGAAGTGATGAGAGCTGCCTGCTCTTGCCTTATCACTTTCTCTATCTGTCTCCTTCTCCTTTTCACGTTCTTGGCTTCTTGTGCGGGGTTAGGTGGTGTGGTACATTACTGGTTCCTACACCTCCTCCTCCTTTGATGAGGCCTCCGTTTCCATGCTTTCTTGGTTCAGGTCTGGAGGTGCTACACCTAGGGCAGCTGCAGGTAGATCTTTGGCTGTGGATTTTTTGTCCTCAGTCCCTCCTGTTCTTTTGCCTTTCAGCTTCAGCGTCATCACGCCCTTCTTGAAGTAGGCCATTATCGGTCCTTCCTTCTTGAGTTTTGATCCTGTGAGTGGAACCACAGCCAGAAAAAGTTGAACTGTAGTCCCGTCCACAATTCTGTTGAGGGCATCCCAACTTGTGGCTTTTAGCCCTTTATGCTGTTTTTCCAGCCACAGCAAGATATTCTCAGTTTTGAGCTGGTTGCAGTTCGGAAGAAATGCCGTTACCACTTTAGTCTTCTGTATGTCTCTCTCGGGAATGACACGGAGAGAGTCCCCTAGCTGTTCTTCTTTAGACTTCATCCACCTTGCGGTGTCCTGGTCCTTGCAGACCAGTACTAGGTACCCTTGCCTCCAGTGTTGGCTATTAAAGCCAGGAAAAACCTCATGGTCTTCTCCGCTCCAGATTAGCTGCAGGCTTTTGTCTTGGACAGATTCCATCTATTCGTTTGTCAGCATTAATTCAGGGAAGTTGGTGTGGATTACACCAATTCTAACCCCCTCTCCAGCCTGTTTGAATGAGAGCTTGGAAGGTTGATGTTAAACCCCCTGTTGCAGTGTTCCAGCCTCTGCCGACTCCTCTCCTCCTCTGGCCTTCTTGTTCGGCCTTTTGTTTGCCCCTTGGTTGATGTCGCTTTTTTGTGGTACCATTTCCAGGCTCAGTTCCGTTGCCTTTTCCACAAAGTGGCCCTGCCGCCTGTGCCATTTGAATCTCCTATAGCGGGCTCCTCCCATTTTTGGAATTTTATCAGGCAACTTGAGTTTCTTGGTTTTTTTCAGTGATTTCTTTATCATCACCGCTGGCTTCATCCAGGAGTTGTTCCTCCTCAGAGTTTGTGACATTAGCTCTCCCTGAGTTTCATCAACCTCTCAGTTGAGCTCTGATCCTGACGTGGATTGGAGTGCTTCCTCGCCTGGAGGTGCCACAAGGACCTCTGCTGTTTGAGGAGTTGCTTCCCTTGAGTTTTGAGGCACTGTGTTTTTTTAGTAAATTCTGCCTTTGGATTGATTGTTTTTGTAGCTGCTGCTGCAATTTTATTAGTCTCCATCTTGATCTCACGAGTACCGGGTTGCTGCCGGCCGCCTCTCGAGTGACCCAATTAGAGAGTAAGGGGTACATACTGCTGGGTTCCCCCTGGTGCCCAGCAGGCTCCGTTTAAGACACTCTTGATTTAGGCCCCCAGTGCTGCAAGACTCTCAGCAACAGTCGCATCCCACCTTAGCCCTAGGTCCACAGTGCGCAGACATAGCTCCTGCTATACCTGAATGTCTGGGTGAGCGTCAATGTTCTCAGAAAAGCAAGCTTCGTCCTAGACCAATGAGAAATTTTGTTTTAACCTTAAAGATCCATTTCCCACTGATCTACTTGTTAATCTGTATACTCAGGCTTCACAGGGTTTGAAGATTTAAATCTTTTTGCTGTTTTTTTTACCATCTACACTCACGGATTTTTCAAAGAAGGCATCACAAATATTTTTATAAGAAATTAGTCTAAACCCAATAGGTTAGGCTGAATAGTAGAATAGGAAGAACCTTGCATAAACTGATTGGCTTCATCAGCGGCCACTGGGTATTCCTCAGACATCTACACAAGATGGGAATTCAAGTTGAAAGCTTCTTATGTAGAAAATGTGAAGAGGAGGAGGAGACAGTCTTTCACGTGATATTTATGTGCCTAGCCCTACAAGGTCTGCGTGTGAGATCCCTTGGCCTATCTACTGGAGTTCAAGGAGAAGAACAGGGAACCATAGTCAAAAGGATCTCATGGTTCACTAAGAACCTCGGATTTGACGGAGAATAAGGACCTGTGAATGAGGGTGCACAATAAGCTGTTTCAGCTGTGATGCAATCCCATGGTCTACTTATAAGCCTGACCCTCTAAATAAAAAGTCTAAACCCATCAAAGCACAATACTCCAATTAAATAATTAAATCCATTGAATAGTAATTGCCTTTGGAGGGTGTTAAGCGTTATTATTATTTAGTTCTAACACACACTTTTATTTGTTTCAGATATTTTACGATCTAGTTCGACAAATCAACAAGAAGTCCCCAGAGAAGAAACAAAACAAAAAGAAAAAATCCCTTTGTAAAATCTTATAAACACTACTAGGCCTTGTAAATATAAATACGTGAGTTGGCGGACTCGAACCAGGATTTCACTTGTCACCGATGTTGTTAATTAATTTTTTTTTACTCTGGTAAATCTTCCACCTGTAAGAAGGAAGTGTAGTCTGCCTTCCTCTTCACTGCCAGCCAGTGGTTCGAGGTAGCACATCATATCTATATTTCTATCTTCAACTGTTCTATTTTCTGCGCTAAATCCTTATATTTTTAATAAAAAAGTATATATATTTCTGTACACCCTCGATAATAAGTCGTTCACTATTTTATTAATATATTTAGTTGCTAAGTTAGTAAAACTTGTTTTGGATTGTGCCGCAGCAAAATGTTATTTTACCAATATATATGTTTGTAGTATCTAACGCACAAAAGATCATTTAAAAGTTTATTTTTATTTATTTTATTTTGAAATTCTATCAGTTCTCTGTGATATCTCGAGAAGAACTGTTATCGGTATTGAAATAGTTTCCATTTCTCAGTTTAAAACTGTTGTAAATAGTTCACTTTAGTCTCATTCGGTCATTTTAGACTTTATCAGTAGAACAAATGTTTCTAAATTTTCTGGGAACGTCTTATATTTTATAGTTTTTCTACTCTTGATCTTTTTTACAAACATTTAGCATGTTAGTAACTGAATGTACACAATTTTTATATAGCTTCAATTATTTTACTATGTATTTGAGTATTGCTTATATTTTATCGAGAGAGTTATATTGTATTATTGTATCATTAGTCTACTGTAGGAAAGGAACGTGTCGAGGATAACAAATTGTTAACAAATTTATTGGAATTAGCTTTAAGACACAATTTGTATTATTTTCTATCACATTTTTGTGCTCTTAGAGTCAAACTCTTTATTTGTCACAGTTTCTTTGTACATATATACAGAGTATGAACTGATTTTATAATGAATCTGAGTTGTAGTTGAGTAACAAACATTATCGTTGTTCATCATAGTAAATTCTTGTAAATAACCTTTAATAGTATAATAGACATTCACTTTTGATTATTTATGATTTGTTATTGCAAATACATGTGATGGTTTTTGATAGTTTTTTAACTGCACTCTTTTATGACCTTTTTGATTTGTAAAGTACATACAACAATTTTCATAGGGTTGGATGGGTCGTTTAGCTGCAAACTTCCTTCACTACCTAATTTAGAAACTGAATGCTTTGAGTTGTTGCTTGCAGACTAACACCCTTAGAATCAGACTTTGGATACATTTGTGTCAGTTGGTATTTAACATTTAACTCTAATGTGTGTCGAATCAGTGAATAGATTTTAAACCTACCACCGTTTAATGATAACTAAACATTTACAAGTATAAAATTATCCTGCAAAACATTTTATGTTAAAAATTTTGCTGGATGTTTTATAGCAAGTGATATATTTTTTAATGATTTATTTTGGGTGTCAGACTATGTAAAAAAAAACTAAACAATGAAGGGGTGCAATTTGAATTCACTTCGTGTTAGTTTCAGGCAGATAGTATTTATTCAAATACATCCATATCTGTTCATCAAATTTGTGTGAATGTATATATTGTTATTAGTGTCATTAAAATTATATTATTAAATAAACTATTTGATGTATTTTAATATTTCATCTTGTGTTGACATAGATTTCTATAAAATTTATGCTAAAGTACAAAACCTAACCTTGAAAATATAGTATACATATTTACAAAGTTTCATTCACCTCATAAAAATAAATGTACATAAACAACTATATTCTGAATAAACAAAAATAAAATTATACCTTATCCAATTAGGACAACCATTGTGTTAAAGTGGTTATGGTTAACCATGAACCAAAAACTATTTAAACTTGCCTTTCAGTACCAGATCAAACATCTTGTTTGTAAAACAAAGTTCTCATGTAGTTTTTACCTCAATAAAATCAATTCCCATTTTAATCCATGAGTCTGTCACTTATCAACTTTGTATAAAAAATTTTTTTTAAATACTAGACGCAGGAGAATTAATATATAGATTAATGTCTAGCAGTTAGATTCATGATGATTGTGATGACAATCTTCACCAAGCCAATTAAATAGAAACATTAAACTGTTCAAAACAAGGAATACCTACTTTTTCAACCAAATTAAAGTAGTTACAGTGTAGCATTTCGACCTGGTGTGTCTTAATGAGTTGGCATTTAAATAATTGCAGTTTTAAAGCATTTACGATTGGTTTATCTTTTATTTCTTAATATTTGAGACTTGATGTTAGTTTTTCAAAATTTCAACTGTCACTTTATTGATACAATATAGCATCATTATACACTAATGTAGATAATTTAAAGGGAAAATATTCGAAAACTTCCAAGATTCAAATGAAAGATTATTTACCTGTAACTATTTTCCTACATTTGAAACATTTTAATAGTGTGGTTAAATTTTACCCTAGGAAGAATTTAAAGAAAGTTCTCGAATATTGGAATCCAATTAAGTTCAGATTTGTCAGAAGTTGAGAGTTTTATTTTATTAGATATGCTTTAATGAGTAATTACACAAGTATAATAATTTTGATTAAGATTCTTCTACACAAGCCAATTAATATATGTTCCAAACTGTGGTTGTGTATAGAATACCATGTCAATATATTGTAAGACAACTCAATATCTCTGAAACAGTACTGGGACATTGTTGACATGACGTACTTGAGAAAGCTTTTAAGTTGTTTTTCCAAGACAAAGAAAACACCTCAAATGTATTTTGTATTTTTACTGTCAATCTCTCCATATCCAAAGCCAAGGTTGTTAAGTAAACAGTGTATCTTATCTATCACAATCCAAAACAAGTGAAGGTTTGAGATACGCCCCTCCACCAACTTTGAACATACTGTAGAATACTTAACCTCCAATAGTGGTATGTGGTAGTGAGGTTGTAACCTAATGTTTCCAAAGATTTAACAGTAATAATGCCGAGTGAGAGACCTCAGACTTACAAAGCTTGTCGTTATTGTATGATTTGTACAGTTGTGTTATATCTTTCAATTCACTTCTTATCATAACCCATAACCTTGTACCAATCATTGAAATAAATGTATGCGTAATAACGTTGAATATTGTTAATATAATATACGAGTATTGAATTAGGCTATTTATAAAATAGATTTTCAATCTTTTGTTGTAGCAGCAAACAAATTTATTTATTAGGTTCTCTAAATTAAAGATGGATTGATTTGGATGTGGATTTTTTAAAGATCTTATAAACTGTGTGTGCAATACATAGCTTTTGTTTGCAGACTTATAATTGTAACATAGCTTTTTTACTTTTGAAGTTATCTGTTCTGTTTATTACATGTAAATAACTGATAAAATATGATTTAATAACAGTTTTGGTTTGAATCCATTGCTTTTTATCACTCTCCTAGCAAGTTCCAATTACAATCCACCATAAAACAGCTAGATGGATACCAAGTATTTATCCATAATATATTATATATCAAATTAAAGTTATAATAAATCATATTATATACCGTATTACATTTTTTAATATAATGACACCAGATGCGTGTAAGGTTAGGGTTTTACAACATTTTCTCTTGAAACTGGACCTAGCTGTCCTTTTTAAATGGTCCTGGCCAAATAAATGGCTGCTCTTAGTTATTGACATAGATACAAAAGGCAACTAGATCATAACAGTTACAAATTCATCCCAAACAAACAACGAGGCACCTGTTGTTAGGGTTTATAACATATGGGAGAAATTCATTGTATCCCTTATAACCATACTAGATAGTTATGTCAATAGTAATCTTTAAAATAAAACGTCTGTGCATTAAAAAAGCCATAAGCTAGTAATTTATAAAAATAAAAATGTAACACAAATAAAAAAAAAAACTTTAAAATTACTACAATTCAGGAGTACAGTGTGTACACTACTGCATCCATGGCTGTGCGGGGTGATGATAAAGGTTAATACTTAATTAAATGCAATCATCGTAAGCATTGTAAGAATTAATCATTATGAAAGTGAAGTTGTTGAGAGTTAGAAAAAATACTCATACTTTCTTACAACTCCGAAACATTATATTTCTCAATTCCTTGTTGATAGTCAGAATCAGAATAAGCTCACCAAAAGACTCATTGAAAGTGTAATAGCAATTACAACTTTTTCTGTCAAAGAATTATGGTAACCTCTGAGCTTTCTGAGGTGTGCTCGAGTATTTTGAAATGGTGCACTTTATAAGTGTTGGTAGAAACCAGAAATTTCTAAATGGAAACCAAAACTTCCATTTTGGTTCCATTTCCATTTTTATTCCGAATCTCAATACCTAAATGCAAATTGTTTTACTTGTCTAGTTAACGTTACAAAAATAAAGGTAATAATAAATCGTTTACTACGGATAGCTGGCTCAGTGTTGGCCACACGGTCAAGCTCCCCTCACTCCCGACTGGCAGAAGCCGACAGCCCATACACCCACTATTATAAAATGCATCTTTTTAGATGCTGTTCTGTTTAAATATACATATAGATAGTAAAAATATTGCTAAAGCATGTCAAACCCTTTTCTTTTTACTATTAAAATATTTATGTATGTTTTGTTTCTTGCCGAAAATAACTCATTTGAACTCTTTAAAACTGCACATTCACTCAACTCGAATTTAGATGTTTTTAGAAAACTGATGATATTGCTAGTTCCAAATTATACATGGTAAAATAATCAGTAATGGCAAAGAAAGGATAGAAAATACAATATTTGTAATTTCCAACCCATCGTTAAATGAAAACATATTACACATTAAGCATTTACAAATAGAATAATATTATTCATTTTTTCCGTAGAGTTTGATGTAAACACAATACCTTTTTTCTGTCACTGTTTTGTGGCCTATTTTGTAAGATACATTATCATTACACAGCGGACAATGTATGACAATGCAAGACATGCCAAGGGCAGCGAGTACAATCTCACTCTCGTCATGCCTCAGCAAGAATGTACAGCTAGCTTCAAGTAAGGTCCAGTTGCATTCCTCCCTCTAAGGGAAGGAAGATGGTTCTATCTGATGCAGTGTTAGTAAATGGCTCTTTCACTGACAGGAAAAGTTAGTGGAGAATAGATCAAACATATATAAATATGTTTCACGTTTGGTATAAGTATTTCCAAGCCTTTGTCCATGGGATGTGTAAAGTTGCTATCTTAGAGTGTACCGGCATTGCAAGGTTTTAGTTGCGCTAGAACATAAATAGGTACAAAGTCCTGGGGTTAATTCTTCTTAAACGATAAAATAAATATAACTGTTTGTGAATTCGGGTCTCCATCGAGCTCCCGTCACAGCAGAGCAAGCTGGTAGAAATCTGAAGCCAACTCTGTGTCTTTATTCACTACTAGTACTATCCTAGCTAATCCCCACCCCTGTGGGTCGATTAGACTGGTCATAGCATTTGAAAACATTTTGAATGAAAACTAGATGCTCCTGCCACGTAAATCGTGTTCTGTGGTCTCAATCTGAGTAGTCAACCGCCATTGCCAGTCCATCACCAGTTGACGGACGTGAATGGTGTTTGGTCGTAGCAAATGAACACAAGGGTTGGAGGGAGTTTAGAGGTGGTATAAACATTTTAACAGTGTTTTCAATGGTGCAAGCCAACTGCTGATTATTAGTCTTGTTTGAAGCAGTGACCAAAGCTAGAGGAATATTTCGTAATGTGGCTGAACAAGAGAGGTTACTGGACTAAAAGAAGCCGTATGCACGAGATTATGAAGGACTACATCAGTCATGACAGTCTCAAAAATGATCAGCAATCAATTTATTGTAAAATTCAATCATTCTCCAGGAAACTGTTGAACACCTGCTTCCAGCCCTGTTCAAATATGTACAAACTTGCTAAGTCACAAATGCACAAAATCCTTTTCTGTACACATCTGTCCACTGACAACAGTAATCAACAGAGATTTATTTCCTGTTTATACAGAAACCTAATCACTGTACACAATTTGAATTCATACTTGGCTGATGCGACAATTTTCTTTCGCTTTTCACAATGTTTTTGAATATCACGACAAGACTGATCCTCCAATAGAGGTGCGAATCAGCTGGAATAGTAGTGGATGGAGTAAGAGAAACGAGGTTGGTCTGAGATTTGAACTAGATCGCTTAATCGTGACGGGAGCTCAATTGAGACTTTAATTTATGGACAGCCCTTGTAGAATGGAAGATCTTCTTGCTCAGAGCAAAATATAAGACATTGAGTCATTAAAGTCCTACCTGAATTGTGTTGTACAGACCAGCTGATTCTACAAGGACAGCTGTAAAAAACAATCATCGACTATGTTAAGACTGCCTTACACCCACAAGAGGATCATGTCTCTTCCCAACATACATGATCTTCTTTTATAACTTTCAATAATTACACTTACGGTAGGGTACTTATTTTAATAGGAAAGCGTTTTAGGGTTTATTTCATGTCCGTCAACGCTATTAACATTTTTGATATTTTTGCAATGGATAGGCCCAAAGTCCAGACCCTGTTTTTATTACTATATACCCTTTACCCTTGACTTTTTGTTAGATACCACCATTATGATAGTCCAATGACAAATGGCATTTGAGTCTGGAAACTGGCTGAAAACAAACCAGCAGCCTTCAGATTAAAAGGCGAGCACTCAGCACTGTAAACATTCAGCTACCCAAACAGAAGCAGTAAAGTCCACTTCTTCCAAGGAATGCTTATTCCACCACTTGTGCAGTCGTTTCAGTAAAAGGTTTGTGGAATGTATCTGATGACGAATCATTGGGAAAAGTTTATCTCCATTGGTTGGGAAGCTGTTCATAGTGATTTTTTACGAGATCTCAATCATCTAAACTACTCTTGATAAACTCTTTAGGTACATCCTGTTTAGGTCTTATATCAGGTTTACCACATAAGAATCTTAAACTTATGTGTAATGTTGTCATGGTGGTATTGCCACTAATTGTTCTCGTGTCTCTATTTTGTTGGACATTGATATTTTACAAACATGTACTGTTCATCCACACTGGAGCATAGTACTCAGAGATGGAATTGCAGGCAGGGATAACTCAGTGGTTAGCTAAACTTGAATATTTGCTTCCCATGTTTGGAGATGTTGCGCCCACCAACTTGATGTACAGCTTTGGCCCTAATTAGGTATGAATCAGGGCTTAAGGTGCCATCTTTTGTAAATGGCTGTCAAACATGAGCAATGAACAAGGTAAGTTACCTTTGGATGGACTCCGGTTTAAACCAGGACAGTAAGATAAGGGTGATTTTCAGCAAATATTCTGTAGGCGAATTGAGTGTATTGGAGCACTACTAAACTTAGTGGTGCTTTCCCCTCTCACAAAAAATCTATTTGCTATATATAATCTCATTATTTAGAGCCATCACCTTGACTAGACAAATAAGTTGTCTAAACAAACAACAGTAAACACTTTTAGAAATTTATTAAACAGTATAATGTTCATGGAAACAATAGGGTTTATAGATATCACTGATGGTTTTAATACTAAATGAAGTAAATGAAATGAAATGTGTGTATTGTCCTTTAAATTTTTGCAAATTATTGACGATGTCATAAAACAGCTAACGTTATAGCATAGTCAGTTAATAAATACAATATAGCTTACTAGACAAAATGAGACACGTTACAATACATATTTTAAATATTAAAATTAAATAATCTTATTCTTAAGAAACATTTGTGGCATTTAGAATAATGGAAGTGATTAAACCCCATAACCAACAAAATCCAACAGTACTTTGGTCAATTTTCTAACTTTACGTTAAAAATTAATACCAGGCATTAAAAATAAAATCATTTAGAGGATAGAATGGGTTGTTCAGAAGCCGTCTGTAGAATTTAGTTTTTAAAATATTTTTGAGAATTTTGTTTGATTAAGTTGGGATTTTTTAGAATAGGCCTGTATGATACAGATGTCAAATAAATAAATGTAAATCAATACTTTACAGATATGTGTTCTGGGACACATGATATAAACCAATTATTCATACTTGATAGGCAAGCACACAATACAAGAATTCAGATTTAGTACTGTCACTGAAGAAACTAACACTAAAGTGGAAGATCTGGAACCAATATCACTAGTCCCAGTGATCTCGAAAATCTTAGAAAAAATACAGGGTGGTGCAAAATAAAGGAAACCCAAAATTAAACTATTAATAGTTTATTAAAACAATAAATGTTACAATTACCTACTTAACTCAACAAAATCATGTGTCGTCCTTCGTTAGTAATAAAATATACCATTTGGTCCATGATCTTGCTGGCCATCTCGATTACATTTACATGATCGATCATTGTTGCAATATTCAATATTCATGAAATAACTCTTAGCGTTTGGGTGTCCTTTTTTTGTACCAC